GATCCACCTGCCTCAGCCTCCCAAAGTGCTGGGATTTCAGGCATGAGCCACTGCACCCAACCTGGATGTACTGTTCTAAAGATGGTCAGTGCTAATAGTCCAAGCCGAACACTTTCCAAATTCATCTAAGAATGATTCACACTTCATGCCTTCTTCAGCAAAGGCCACTGCAATGGGAGCTCAGCATGTGCCACTTACTAGGCTCAGTGTAGTCCCTATTTCTGAGCCTAGTGTGATGATTAATTAATTTTATGGATCAACTTGGCCAAGCCACAGTGTCTAAATATTTGCTGAAACATTATTCTAGACGTTTCTCTGAAGCTATTTTTTAGGTGAAATTAACATTTAAATTAATAGACTTTGAGCAAAGCAGACTGTTCTCCATAATGTGGTGGGCTTCATCCACTCAGCTGAAAACATGAATAGAAAAGACTCCCCTCCCTGGGAGAAGGGAGAATTCAGACCAAAGTTCAATTCTTCCCCGCATCTGCAGCCTGCCAGCCCACCCCTGAAGATTTAAGACTTGCCAGCTTCCGCAGTCACATGAGTCATTCCTTAAAATAATCTCCTGTGCCCCTGTGTTTCTCTCGCTCTCTCTCAGGATATAAATCTGGATTAGATATAGGTATAATTTAGATATATAAATACACACATTTACAACAGGATGAATATACATCTACATACATATACATCCAAATTCTGTTGATTCTATATTTCTGGAGGACCATGACTAATAGACCTAGTTAGAATCACAGAACTGACATTGATACCGAAGGACCTAAGAGAGCATCTGCAAAGCTGCATGCAGGCTGTCTTCCTAGGCCTGTGAGATTTGACCACAGTCATTTTACAGGTATCTCCAATACGACAGGTACCAAACCAACAGACAAGAATTCAAATTCTGGCTGTGCCACTTGGTAGCTATGTGACTTCAGGAGGTTACCTTACCTGCCTATGCCTCAGTGTCCTCATCTGTCAAAGAATAATGGTATCCACTGCATGTGGTTATCATACGGATGAAATAAGTGACTACATGGAAAGCATTTAGAAGTATGCCTGCCACCAAGTAAGGCTTCATGATATGTCAGTCCTCTCAAACACCATCTGCTTCTGCTTTCCCATGTACTCCTGTAGAGAAGTCCCAACCACATAAATGGAATACCGAAAACCTCATTTTAACTTCTTCCTTCCCCTCACCAACCCCCTACACTCACAGTCTAAGGATTCATTGATTCTGCATTCCCAATGTCTTCTCTATTTGTGCTTTATTTACTCAGTCTTCTACACTTCCTGACAACTTATTTTGGGCCTGACACTGGGTTTCGAAGTGTTGTGGATACAAAAATAAGTAAATATGGAAAAGTGGAGGGGACTCTGCAGTCCCATTGCCCTGGCTTTGGTTATTGTCATTTCTTTTCCTTGGATTATTGATGGAGCTTGTTAAGCAATTTCCCCCTCAATCCATCCAAGGAACTCTCCCCCTCAATCTGACCTTCATCGTGATGCTTCTCCAAACTCAGGTCAAATTCCTTCTCTTGGCCCTAGAATAAAGCCCACAGCTGTGCCCAAACAATCTTTATTTTCTTGTCTCCCAGTGTTTTTCCCCACAGTGGGCCTCTGACCACTCCCCAGGAACACTGTGCTCCTCTGTGCCCCGTGACTCTGCTCCTGCAGCTGGTACGTTCCTCTGATCACCTGCCCGATGTCTTCCTTGACCTTCCCAGTCAGAAGTAACTGTGTTTCTCTCTCATAGTTCTTGTCCTTCCATTTGACATCCCAGCTGTCATTGTTTATGTAGCTGAACTCGGGCTTGAGCCCAGGCTGCCTTCACTCCGGGATCCAGACAGGACTTGGCCAAGTCTGGAGGGCCCCTGGGGTGGGTCTGCCAAGGTTCTACTTACATGAAGGTCTGAGAAGCGTCCTGGGAAATGAACTCATCCTGAGAGAAGAGAGGGCCAAGTCACACTAACACGTTCCAAAGAGAGTCAGCCAGTGTCAGAGGAAGGGATAATTTTTAGTACAGCATGGTGTCTGCCACTCAGCTTGTCCTTGGCCACATTCACAGGAATGCATGCCTGAGTCATGGAGTCATCCCTCTGCATCAGCAAAATGTTTATTGAGTGGCTACTATGGACCAGACTCTGCACTAGACATAGGCAGCAGGAGATGAAATAAGTCAGACCCTCTCCCTGACCTCGGGAGCCTAACTTATAGTCTAGTAGGAGCTCTTAAAAAAAAAAAAAAAAAAAAGAGTTGCAATATAAAATGTGAATGAAGTTTGTTTTTATTTGTCTACATTTTTTTTTTTTTACAATTTTAAGTTTTACAGTTTATAATTTGAAACATTCCTATAAAGCAGGGAAAACACAAAGAACCTCTTCTTTGTAATCAATGTGTGAGAGTATAACAGGGCTAGAGCTAATGGATGCTTTTCCCTCTTGTGAAAGTGGAGGAAAGTTGCAGGAAAAAATGACTCAAGTGAGTGGTGAGCTGGACCAGCCAGAGAAAGAGCAGGAGAAGGCAATGAAGGGTCAGAACATCCGGGTAACCAGCAACCTACCTCTGCACAGGGGCAGACACCATGAGGGCTGGCAAAGCACCACTGGGAAGAGATGCGCCTAGAAGTCCTGCAATTCTGTGTATGTCAGGATCCTGTTTCTGCCTCCAGAGAATCTTTGGAAGACCAGTGTTTTCTTCATTTCTCATCACAAATTTGTCTGCTCTATGGGGATGGGCACTGTGTCTTATTGTTTGGAGAATCAAATCAGAAAATCGCCAAAAGTAGGCATTGAACAGTTTTGTTGAATTAAAATGAATATAAAGAACTTTTCCTGGCCGGGTGCAGTGGCTCAAGCCTGTAATCCCAGCACTTTGGGAGGCCGAGGCAGGTGGAACACGAGGTCAAGAGATCAAGACCATCCTGGTCAACATGGTGAAACCCCGTCTCTACTAAAAATACAAAAAATTAGCTGGGCATGGTGGTGCATGTCTGTAATCCCAGCTACTCGGGAGGCTGAGTCAGGAGAATTGCCTGAACCCAGGAGGCAGAGGTTGCGGTGAGCCGAGATCACACCATTGCACTCCAGCCTGGGTAACAGGAGTGAAACTCCGTCTCAAAAAAAAAAAAAAGAGAACTTTTCCTTTAAGTAAAATAGACAGTGTACACAAACGAATAGAGGAAGAAATGTAAAGATTATCTATAGTTGGTTAGTTCTTTTTTTCTCCCTTATTATAAAGCAAATTTTGCGTTCATTCTTCATTCCACTTTGGAGACTTAAGTTACAATTAAAGCAGGGCACAATAGCTCATTCCTGTAATCCCAGCACTTTGGGAGGCTGAGAAGGGAGGGGAGGATCACATGAGTCTGGGAGTTCAAGACCAGCCTGGGCAATATAGTGTGACCTTGTCTCGACAAAAACCTTTAAAAATTAGCTGAAAGTGGTGGTGTGCACCAGTCGTCTCAGCTATTTGGGAGGCTGAGCCCAGGAGGCAGAGGTTGTGGAGCCAAGATCGTGACACTGCACTCCAGCCTGGTTATCACAGTGAGACACTCTCTCTCTAATAATAATAATAAAGCAGAGTTAATTTGTTGCAGCCCGTTTTATATAAAAATGATACATTCTAGGCCGGGTGCAGTGGCTCATGCCTGTAATCTCAAGACAAGAGCAAAACTCCATCTCAAAAAAATAAAAATAATACTTTCTCATGCTGAAAGAAAAAACACCTGATGAAGGATGGAGAGGGGAAAGTAAAAGTGAATACCCCACAAACACATGGTGGAATGTTCCATGGCAGGATGGAAGTAAATTACATCATTTTGAAGTTCCAAAACAATCTTTCTTTTCCTACTTCACTATACTTCAAGCTGTATATAATAATTCCCCATAGCCTGGAAGAGAGATGGAAAGAAGAACACAGCAATAAGGTGACGTTCTCATGGTCATACCAGCCAGTTGGCTTCAATAGTCCAGACTCATGTATGAGACAGCTGGATTTCCAGACAAAACGATTTGATCATTGGCCCAGCAATCAGAGCCTTGAGCCTCTGAAGTCGCGCATCACACCTGAGCACACTAGAATTTGTCCGTGAGAGGGGAGGTAGTAGCAATAGACAAGCCAGGCCACAGGGACTCCAAGTTCATTTTCATTTGTGTTCTGGGGAAGAAACAAAAGAAAAATTTCGGTTATGAAGATAGAGGATGTTGGTTTTTATTCATTGTCTGCTTGTACAATCACAGAGAAACAGGGTGCTGTGGGGAGAGGAAACAGAAGTACTAAACCTGCTTCACTGCTTAGTACCTGGGTGACCTACAGCCAATCATTTTGCTTTCTGAAACGCTGTTATCAGCAAAAAAATAAATAATAATGAAGATTCCTACCCTGCCTGGCTCATAAAGTTGTTGTCTTTTTGAAAATTCTGAAGAGTTATGATATATGAAACCTACATGACTCTGCAATATTTTACCAAAGGGTCTCGGATATGTTCTCACTGTATTTCACCTGACAGGCTCCCGACATGCCACACCCTAAAGTTAAACCCCCGCTGCTTCATACCATCACATCATCCTTCCTCCAGCAGGATTCTTTTATGACTGAGAAAAGTGCCAAATACCCACGCTCACTCAGCTCAAGGTCAAGGGCTGACTGTCAGCGAGAAGGAAAGGCAGACTGAAGAAATGAAGACCACAGGAAAGGAAAGCATTTTGCTTTCATGACTCTGCCTATAAAGTCTACATGAAGGTATGACATAAAAAACTCTGGCTGCCAGAGCGAGGATCGTGGAGGATGCAGAATATTTACTAGTGTAACACTAGGAGGGGAGGGAGTCCTGAGAAAAATCCAGGTGAGTGTAATGCCCTGGAGCTGGACCACAAGGGTCCTTAGTCATGACCTGCAGCAAATCAGTCTTTCCTCAGTTTCCTCATCTGCAAAAAGAAGTTTATAGTAACAGCACCTATTCCATAGGCTGCTGCGAGGATTCATGAATAAACATGAATGGAGTGCTCACTTTGGCAGCACATAACTAAAATTAGAAAGATAAGAAAAGATGATTAGCATGGTCTCTGCTCAAGGATGACACACACATTCATGGAGCATTACACATTTTTTTACCAAAAAAAATGTTTAAGTGAAAATAAAAATATTAAATATGGATGGAGTACTTAGCACAGGGGTGGTGGCGGTGGTGGTGGTGATTTTGATTATCTCTGCCAATGCTCCTGCATAAAGCTAAAAGACAGAATGGAACAAAGAAAAAAAAACTGCCCCCAAAAAAGGCAGCTGGATTCTGCTTTCTAAAGAAGGCACAGTAAGGAAACCAGGCTTCTGCAAGGTCAGGCAACAGAGGTCTTACAATAGCATATTAAAAACACCAAGAGTCCAGGTTATTGAAATAGGATCATCCTTAGACTGTGAACTTTGCACAACTTCATCAGATAGACTGAAAAATCCTGGCAATTTCTGTTAAAATCCTCATAAAGAAAAGAACCCATTCCCGGGCCCACAAGCATGGGACTCAGAGCAATGAGGCATTGACAAGAGGCTTTGGGACAATGCAATGCCAGACCCAAAAAAGAAAATGTGTCAGGATACATGGAGCCAGGGCAGAATAAATTCTTCTGGCCTCTCTCCACTTAAGGGCTTACTGATTTCATAGTGAGGAAAGACAAGTTAACACAACCCACAGACTTATATTAATACATTTGTTTAAGGTAACTGTCTAATAAAGTACCCATAACTCATTCCATAGAGTGTGGGATCATCGATGAATTCTTTCCTGGTTTTTGTTTTGCTTTGCTTTGCTTTGTTTTGAGACAGAGTATCACTCTGTCACCCAGGCTGAAGTACAGTGACACGGTCTCAGCTCACTGCAACCTCTGCCCCCCAGGCTCAAGTGATTCTCGTGCCTCAGCCTCCCAAATAGCTGGCATTTGCCACCACACCTGGCTAATTTTTTGTATTTGTAATAGAGATGGGATTTCACCATGTTGGTCAGGCTGGTCTCGAACTCCAGGCCTCAAGTGATGATGTGCTCACCTTGGTCTCCCAAAGTGCTGGGATTACAGGTGTGTGCTACCACATCAGGCCTGAATTCTCTGCATTCATTAATTCATTCATCAGATATTTATAGATTGCCACAGAACACCCTGTCCTGTGCTCAGGAATGAGAGTCCAGTGCTCACAACTTAGTGGAGGTGATAGAGTGTGAGCAACCGTTACACTGCAGACTCAAATTCCACAGGAGTGATAAGTGTCCAGGGATCCCAAGGATAGAGGACCACTGGATTAGCTAGAGGGATAGATTGTAAAGGGCCTTAAAGCCTTGTTAAGGAGTTTGGACTTCATTTTTGAGGGCAATGGAAGGCCATGGAAAGATATACTGACTTAAATACTCGAACAGTATTGTTATAAATGATCTCTCTGGGTGAACCCTGAAAATCTCATCCTAATTCTGGCACCTAGAATGAACTGAATTAAAATCTCCCCTTGGAAAATAACTACCATCCAAGATGATTCTTTGAGGGTGGCTCTAAGTTATACCATCCTCATCCTAAAGCTGTACAGAGGTAGCCAATAGCCTCCCTGCAGTTCAGGAAAGAAAGAAAACAGTGACCCAGACATCCTTAATCTTAAATATATATATGAATCATATTTAGGCAAGCAATGTTTTCATTTACTGTAAGATTTCTAAGATTATTCAAGATCAGAGATGCTCAAGGCCAGTTGACTATTAAAACCTTAAAGGTGAAAGGAAGGAATTTGAGTCATTTTGTGGTAAAAAATTAAAATAGAGCATACTGGATAGAGGCCAGCCACCCATTGTAACAATCAGGGCACTGCTCTTCCTGCATTTGAGGAATAGTGTTAAAATCATGCCAGAATGTTTATTTTATTTTCTACAACTGTTTTAAGAAGGCTTTCTCTGTGGCAGCCACAAATTCTCTACAAGGACGGGGTTTAGACGGAACAGCCGGTTGGAAGGTATTTGTCATGAAGCTGCCTTTGCATAACTAGTAGCCTGTATTCAGATCGCGTGTTTATTGGTAATGGTGTGGAGATTACAGAGAGGAAACTAGAATACTCCCACTATGCTTGTGACATGCCACCTCTACCCCAACAAGTGTGGTATATTTCACGAAGGGTAATTAACTTGTGAAGGTGATAAAGATTACTGATGGGAGCCTTGAAGAAGCTACAAAAGATGGATCATTGTCCCTCTACAACCTTTCAGATTAAGGGTTTCCTTGTAAAAGGGATGGGAGAAATACGTCAGAGGCATTTGAACCAGAGTGAAACCATCCTGAATAGGAGCTGTGTAAATTAGGCTGAGACCTACTGGGCTGCATTCTCAGAAAGTTAGGCATCCTAAGTCAGAGAATGAGATAGGAGGTTTGGCACAAAGTACAGGTCACTAAAACCTTGCTGATAAAACAGCTCCCAGTAAAGAAGTTGGCCAAAAAACACCAAAACCAAGATGGTGACAAAAGTGACCTCTGATCATCCTTACTGCTTATTATACACTAATTATAATGGATTAGCATGCTAAAAGACACTCCCACCAGTGCCGTGACAGCTTACAAATGCCATGGCAATGTCAGGAAGTTACCCTATATGGTCTAAAAAGTGGAAATTGCCCACCACTATCCAGGAAACGTCATGAACAGTCCACCCCTTGTTTAGCATATACTCAAGACGTGACTATAAGTATATGCAGTTGAGCAGCCCATGCCAACTATGAAGTAGCCACTCTTTATTTCTTTACTTTCTTCATAAACTTGCTTTCACTTTATATATATGTGTAACTGAAGGGGAAATTAGCACCTGGGTACTGAAAGGAAATGTAACTCTACCTAAGTCATTTTGCCCATTGATAGCTTCTTCTAATTTTCTGGGGGTAATTTCTGCAACTTGGAATGAAATGGAAGAATAAATGCCATTACCTGTGGGTATGACATTTTGTTTGAACCAAATATGAGTTATAATTTCAGGAACACTGAGAGATCTCACTTCATCTCTCTCCATCCTCCAAGTCCTGCCAGAATGCTCAAAATTGCCACATTTTTTTACTCTATCGAGTTAAGATCTTAAACTTCTATGAAATGCATATTTCATCTGGGAGGGAAAGCACTCTGAGTCATTAATAATAACAATTACTCGAATGACTTCATCGAGTTATCTGGACCGTTTCTGGGCAGTCTCCAGGGTGGTGGTGAGGATGCTTTTGATCCTGGGGGAAAAGCCAGAGGACGTCTGAAAGACAGACTCTGGGTGTGGACCCAGGAAGACACTAAAGGACCTTGCTACTTCCTCATTTTTCTGGGACTGGCTTGGTCTCATTGTTTGGGAGATGTGGGCTGAGATCATGAGAACTGTTCTGGCTACAGCTAATTGCTTTATTGTAAATTTCAGGCTGTGTGAAGAGGCTGGATTAAATGTCTTGGTTACATACTCACCAACTACGTGAATTTGTATGTCTTACTTAAATTCAATTCCTCGATCCTCAGTTTCCCGTCTAATGTAAGAATAAAAACACATGCTTCACTTAACTCAGAAAGCTTCTCTGAAAATTGTAAATTAATGAATGTGAAAGTATACTGCAAATAAAAGAGGGTTATGCAAAGGACCAGGTTTGACCCAGCAATACTCCTGGGTATTTACTCAAAGGAGCTGAAAGCTTATTTCCACACACAAACCTGCACATGAGAGTTTGTAGCAGCTTTATCCGTAATGGCCAACATGTGAAAAAAAACAAGATGTTCTTTAACAGAAGAATGCATAAACAAACTGTGAGACATCCATACAGTGGGATATTTCTCAGCGATTAAAAGAAATGATCTATTAGCCATAAAAAGACATGAAGGAACCTTAAATGCATATTACTGAATGAAAGAAGCCAATCTGAACAGGCTACGTGCTACATGATTCTACCTATATGTCATTCTGGTAAAGGCAAAAACTTGGGAGGCAGTAAAAAAACCATTCGTTGACGAGAGTTTTGGGGATGGGATAACTAGGTAGAGAACAGGGGATTTTTAGGACAGTCAAACTATTCTTTTCTTTTTTGTCTTTTTGAGATGGGAGTCTCACTCTGTCTCCCAGGCTGAAGTCCGATGTGCAATCTCGGCTCACTCCAGTGTCCCCCTCCTGGGTTCAGGCGATTATCCTACCTCAGCCTCCCTAGTAGCTGGGATTACAGTGACGTGCCACCACACCCAGCTAATTTTTTGTATTTTTGGTAAAGATGGGGGTTTTTTTGCCCTGTTGGCCAGGCTGGTCTTGAAATCCTGATCTCAAGTGATCTGCCTGCTTCGGCCTCCCAAAGTGTTGGGATTACAGGCATGAAACACCACACCCAGCCTGTTAAACTATTCTGTATGAAGTATAATGCTGGAAACATGCTGTTACCCATTTTTCAAAAGCCATAGGATGTACAACATATACAGTGAAGCCTCCTGTAAACTATGGACTTCAATTAATAATAAAATGTCAAAGAACCATGTTATTCCTGATTTAAACCCTTCAGAGGCACCCTCTTGCCCACCAAGTAAAGTCCACACTCTGCCCAGTGGCATCCAAAGCTCTCATCACCTGGTCTCTTGCTTTATCCATCCTGGATTACTAGAGCTCCCTAAGCAGATCGTCATGTTCGCCTGTTGTTCTTGCCTGTCCAACATCCACTTTTCCTTCTTCTGCAGATGCCACCCGTTTCCCTTCAGGAAACAACCGCCAATGCACCTTCAGTTTCTGTGGTTTGCTTGGGGCTGACCGGTCATATTCACATTCAGAGCTGGGCATATGATTCAAGTCAGTTCAATCAGAGATAACTAGATGCTTTAACCTGAACCATTAAAAAAATAAACTCTTTTTGCTGGGGCATCAGAGCCTAGATTTAATATTGAATGTCTGTGGCCATCCCTGCTGTCTCCTGGGAAGATCCTGCCTAAATGAAACCAACAGAGTAGAAAGTAGAGTTAGGAGAAGGCAAGAAATTTAAGCCAAACAACATCCATGGAATGCTGGGATCCAGCTGAATCTGTATTTCCAACCCCCTTGGATTTTTGGATTATGGGAGTCAATATATTCACTCTTTATGCGAAGCCAAGTTAAA